AATTTACTTAAGTATTAATAAAAGTCTGGGGCAGGAGCTACACCCCAAATATTAAAAAAAAAAAAAAAAAAAAAAAGACTTGCTAAACTTTTTTAAATTTTTCTACTAATTAAAACTCCTATTCCAGAGCCTTTTTTCTTATCAACATTTGCATTTGACCAATAGCCTTTGAATAAGCTTTCTGGGGAGAGTATATATTGGCCTTCCTTTTCTGCTACATTTGTTTCTGTAATTCCTAAAACATCTATATCTTTCTCTTTAGCTCAGTCTATTAAATGTAAAAGTTTTTGATTGTTCGATTTAAGACCGTTAATGTTGTGACATGCTAAATTTAGATTGAAATCTAGGGCATTATGAGTTATCTTAAGTGGTGTTTGCCCTGCCGAGCCAATTTGCTTGTTTGTTTCTGTTAATGCAATTGGGGCACCCTTAGGAACGATTGGGGACTGAAGCCCTTTGTTTTTCTTCTATTTTCTGTAATTTGTTTAAGATTTGCTCTAGAATACTGTCATGAATATCAAATGCAGATGTAAAAATTTGTTTTGGATTGCTAGAGCTACTATTTCTTGGCTTGGTCTTTTCATATATATTTTCATCTCGAGTTAGTCTGAAGTCTTGAGGTATTTGTTTTTTACCATTCTCTTTTATCTCGCCTAATTTAACCCTATTTGATCTAGTTGCATATTTGTTTTTAATATTTCTAAGGGGCTTGCAAGTATTGCTTCAGGATCTGAGATTACTGTTATCTCCACTGTTTTTCTTATTTTCAGAAGAAGAAGTATAAATAGAGTTTCTGGTTCTACTGCTTGATTTGAGAGATATACATTCGGCTTGATTCTTTTTCCTTGATGTTTTATTTTCATTCAATGGTTTTTTGCCTTTGTTCATATTTTTTACTTCTCTCTTGTAATAGAATGTATTGAGAGCATACTTTCTAGTTAGGTCTTCTGAAATTAGGTGCCATTCAAGCTTAGTGTTAAAGTATTAGATATTGCATCTTTGGGCTGATACGAGATCTTCTTTCGATTTAAAATAAAGGTGAGCTCTTTTTTTTGGATTATCATTCTGATTTTTTAATATGTGCACTGCTTAAACCTTGAATTTTTTGAGTTGGCATAAAAGAAGACTATCGTATGCAGTTGTTGGTATGTTTGAAATTATACATTTATGGTTATTTCTTTCTTCTAATTCGATGATGTCGAACTTTCCAAGTGTTGTGCGATATGTTTTTCCTTGATCTAAATAAACTGAATAACTTTCTTCTAATAACTTTGTTCTTTGTTCAGAGCATGGCAAGATTTTAATATACGCTACCTTAGTTCTGAAGTTTTGTTGCCATGCGAGAACAGAAACTGTACCAAAGAAACTAAGATATGTTTTGATAGTTGATGCACTGGTCTCCTTGGGTAGATCTTAGATTGTAAAAAAATAAACCAGGTTTTGTAGTTGTTTGTAGTAATATATCTTGCTTTTCAGAGCCCAAACCGAATTAAATATATCTTCATGTTGTTTGAATTTTTTAGTACTTGCTTGTGTTGTTGCTTTTATATTTGTTTGAGATTTTTCTCTGATAAGTTCATTTAGACCATAGTCAAGTGCTCCACATTCTTTTTAAACTAAAATATCTTTAACTAGTTCCAAACTATTCTCTGTAGTATGTAGGTTTAAATCCTGTACTGTGAGGTTGCGTTTGCGTGGGTTTTCTTGAGGTTCTATTTCTATATTATTTAAATTAGTAGATGTTGCAACAACTTGGTCTGTTGGAGTTACTTCCATAGAATATGATTCAATTTTGATTTTAATTTTGTTCTCATTAATTTGATCTATATTTTGCTTCTTGCGACAATCTGATAGTTTTTCCTCTTCTGTAGTCATGTTGTTGTTTTTTCTCCCAAAACTTTTAGTAGAATGCGAGGGTGAGATTTCTATAAGAATTGGCTCAGATTTAATTTTAATGCTACTGTTTTGCAAATCGGCATTATCTATGTTATCAACCTGCATGTTGGTGTTATTAGTGATACCTATCCCTTAAATTGTTTTGCAGCCAAATTTGCTTGCAAACTTTTTTAAATTTTAAAATTTTTTAATAAAATTTT